ACCAGTGAGGAGCAGCTAATTCTAGAGTCCCAAGAACACCCACTACCAAAAAACAACCCCAAAATATGCCTGGTTGACATCTATCAATTGACTACCAGGAACAGCCTTTAACACATCAGACTGTGTTTAGAGAGCAAATGATACCTTAAAATAACCTAAACTCTAATTTAGGAAAATAGCAACTAATTCACCGTATCTCTTTTTGCCAGAGGTGGTTGGGAACCACCTTTTCCCCAAGGTTTATGTTTTAAAATGCATGACTGCTAATGAGCAATTTCTGACAGAGCTCACATTGGAAAACTTCCTATTGAAGGTGCAGAGAGAGAGAAGCCAGTGAGGAATGCCATAGGGAATTCAAAGTCACTCTGAACCCCGATCAGATATTTGAATATTTGCTTTTAGAGAACAAGAGTTACTCAGGTACCACTTTAGCTGTTTGTAAAATGAAGCATTGTTATCAGATGACACTTCAGTACAGCAGCACTGGTGCTCAACACTGATAATCATGCACATACACAACAGTGTGTTGCCTTTTTTTCTGTACTAGTGGTTTAAAAAATAACAAGGAAAAAAAAACCAAGCAAAGAATAAAAGCCAAAGACAGAAGAGGAATCTGCAGTGCACAGATGTTAATATGTGGATATTGGACATGATACATTAAAATGGTGCTAAAGGAGCCTTTATGATTTATTGACTCAGTCTGTAGTAGGGAGACAATAATAAGCGGATCTTATCTTATTAAGTGGAACATGTAGTTCCTCTGCATGGGCATCCCCTGCATCTGTCACCCTTACTCTTCCAGTCTTGCTGTCGTGTTTTTCCTGCCACAGACACAGCTCACATTTCAAGTTGGACCAAGTTGCTGAGACCCACAGGCTGCGAAGGCACCAGAAGCCCAGCAAAGCAAATCCAGCCATTTTGCTAAAGCAGCTGGGGGAGTGGGGCTGCTGCAGAGAAACCCAAGGAGAGCCAGCACATCAGATAAATTAGGCTAAAGGCATCTTGATTTGAAGCATGTTGCTGAATACACCTCTCTACTTCAGCTGAAATTTTAACTGCACTATTAATGTAATTTATTACACTCATTAAGTACCACAATCGGAGACCCTGTCTACAATAGCTAGTTTTATACACTTTTAAAATGTTAGCAAGTCACCCCATTACATCTTAGTCATGAGACTAATGCAGATTACTTATTACTTCTCTTGGCAATCACATAACACTTGTCCTGAGAATGAAAGATGATGCCTTGACAATAATATGCTATAATGTAATAACCCTTCACATGTTATAAAGTGCAGCACTTTTTCTTTTGAGGATCACTAAGTGCTGGGCAGGCATTCATTAATACAGCCTCGCCAGACCCCGGTGATACAGCCATCCCCATTCAAAATTCAGCCACCATGCCATTGTCCCCATGTGCCTCTGCACAGCTCCCATCCCCACTGCTGCCTTCAGCACAGCCCTCCCAAATACTGTCGCTTCCACTCTCTCCCTCCCATTTGCAAGAGCAGATAGCTGCAGGCACAGGGTATCTGCTGAAATATTAATGAAGGGAGAAGTAAGTGTTGTTTTAATATTCTCCAGGCCAGTAACCTGAAGTATATAGCAGTTACCTGATATGCCCAGGGCCACTCAGCAGATGGGGAAGAAATGGGAATAAAATCTGGAAGTGGTGGCTTTGCTCAAAACAGCCCTCCCTTGAGGTCCCTGTGAGAGACCACAATTCAAACACAGAAGTAATTGCTAAATAATTAGTAACCTACACAATTACTTCCATGCATCCATCAGTATATTCTGCCCTGAAGGAGCAGTCAATAAAAGCCTGAGATTACAATTATGGTGATTTCCTATCCATCAGAAGGCCTAGACAGCGTGTAGCCTAAAAAGACTTCTCCTTCCTAATGAGTATTGTCAATGGGAATTTTTAACTGGCTTGAGTGTGTTATGTGCAGCTTTACCAGCACCCACGTGGGGCAAAATCACCAACACTGGTGCAGCATCGCAGCTTTGGGTGGGTCTTCCAGGGCTTCGGCTCCTGCTGCTGGATTCATGTGATCCACATGTAGCTTTCATTGGGGAAGAAAGAAGATGTTTCTGGGCTTTATGGTTAAAAATCAGCATGTTAAAACTGGAACTGAAAATTTCAGGAATTAAGGCTTGCCAACGTCCCCTCCCACCTGAACGCAATTTTTGGAGCCTTTTGGGCGCAGAACGCACCAGGGAGGTGACAGGTGACCAGAACAGCAGCTGCCCTGCCTGCTCTGCATTCACCAGGATGTGAATCAAAAGCTGTCCAGTGGAACCCTATTTGCACTGCACCAAAAGAAATAACAATGACATTACACAGCCCTGTAGGTCGGCAACACCTTTTTTGTCCTGTTCAGCTTGCACTTTCTCTTTTTGAAATTAGAGCACTTTCAAAACCCAGGTTGTTCTCTCAAAACTTGATATACACTCCTACTCTTTTATGGTTTCCAACTGTTCTCTTCTGCTTGTTCTTTATTCTTTCCAAATCAATAGTACTTGTATGAGCATCACGACCTGTGTATTACCCCTCTTCTGATGGTTCCCTGTTTTCCAGTCTCTCCCCAGAAGTTCTCTGCAATAACTGTGACCAAACAAATGCTTGTGCTATGTTTTCTCCTGCAAGGTTTTTTCTGTCTCTGCAATTGTTTGATTCTGACTCAGTACAATGGGTAAAATTATTAATAATAAAAGCCACACATTAAAGGTATTATTTTATTGTTCTTCAGGGAGAAATAGAAGATTATTTCCTTATGTTGGGTTCCATCCCTCTGGTTTAGAGTAAGCCATTACTGGTCAAAAACACAGCCAACTTCATCATGGTGGTAGATTAAAAAAAAAAGGCAGTGGCAAAATGCAGCATAAAACAAATTATAATTAATGTAAGACTGTAAAGCTGGGCAATAACAGAGACTTGGACATTAACAGTCTAACTTATTTTGTGGTCTGGGTTTTTTGGCAGATTGGGGGTTTTTTTAATAGACAAAATTGCTGGTGATTGCAGCATTGAGTCTGAATCACACCATCTTCCAAGATCTAATCAAGATCAACACTGTCTTGATCAATACAATTGTAAAATAGGATTTCCAAAAAAAGTACAACAAAGCCATTAAAGAAATCTCAGAAGGCAGCAAAATAATTTCTTGAAGCCCTAAGTGAAAAATGAACTCTATTTATTTCACATTACAATCAAATAGTAATGTGTCTTGATGCATATGTGCACACATGCATCATCATTATTTGCTTTATTCTTATTGATTTTTCCTTCTATGGGCCAGCACTCCAGAACCACAATGCACCAGCATCACTGATGCCAACAGGGAAAGAGGCTTCTCAGCACTTCTGACAAATTATTCCTTTAAAGTTCAAACACTTCTATCACCCACAGAAATGAAATACACATTAGACTTATGAGAAATCAACCTCAACTTCAGCAATTCAAAAGAGCAACCCATGAAACCTAAACAGTTTAGCTGCTGCTGCACATAATCACATAAGCAATGAAACTACCATGTTATAACTGTCCCAGACGGATACAGCATTTCCTGAAAACTAATTCCCAGCATATCCCAGGAGCCAGCTTACAGACAGTTACCCATTTTGTCTTTCCAAGTGGAAAGGTCACCAGAACAAATGCGATCAGGAAGCAATGGCGAGGCTGCTCAGCTGATCTATTTCGAGCACCATGACAAAGAAAACTAATTTAGTGTTATAATTAGAAACATGGAGAGGAAAAAGCTCATTTTGGAGAAGAGCTGCTGCTGGAACGTTTGCATTGGTGCTGATGGAGCTAATCAGCTCAGAGAGGTGGAAGAGTGAAACCAAATTATACATTTAGCATCTTCATGCAAACCAGGTTTGACACTGCAATTGTCTGCAGTTGGGAATGAGCATAAGGTTTAAAGGTGCCCTTACAAGGGAGTTTTTAAAGAAGTAGACAAGCAAACAGTGTTTCAGGACTTTTTTTTCAGACCTTGAAAAACAAAACCACGTGTCACAATCTTTTCTGTTCATGTTTGATGACTACTTTTCAAAGACTACTGGCTATTTTTGTGTAGCTCATATTTTTAAATGTATCCCATATTTCTTATTATAAAGAATAAGTCTCCAAGAATAAGGTTTTTTCAATCTCTCATAATAACAGAAAGTCGCATTAAACTTCTTGCAAATGGAAATATGACATGAATGAGCTAAAGTACACTGGAAGGACTTTCAAACCTCTAAAGTATTTCTTTTCATTGTCTTCTCAAGAGGTACATTTGAATGTTCTCCAGAGGAAAAAAAAAAACCAACACACTCCAAAAGGAGTTTTCAATTTAAAGGAGATATAGATTGCAGGTTTAGTTACACAAATCCTACTGTGTACCCAAATACGGCCAATTTGCCTGGCATTTCTCTGGGAGTCAAAGGTATCTTTTTCCTGCTCTCACCCTGGTTACATTTCAATGCCCCTTGGCTGCATCAGTGCTGTTGTTTGCAAAGTAGTGCTTTGCAAAAAGTAAAAAAAGACCAACTCAATGACCCAAGTTAGAAGCAATTATCCAAGAATAAAGAAGAAAAAAAAAGTCCAAAAGCAGTGCATCATGTAGCTACATAGGGAACACAATTGGGTGATGAAGGATGTGTATTTAGGGAAGATGAAGGACAAGAAAAAGATCAGGAAGGAAGAAAAAGTGAACAAGGAAATGAACCACAATGGATACTAAGAACAGATGCATACTGCCTCAGTATTTCCTTACTGGAGTACATATTGGATTTTTCTGGCACACTGATGTTAATCTTTAGAGGCAGTTAACTTGAAGGGAAAAGACAAAAGCACAGCAATATGGGAATTCCCTCTCTCAGGGTACAGAGAAAAGGGAAGTAAAGCACTAGGATGGAAAGCAAGGTCCTAACTCGAGCAAGGGTGGTACAAGTGTGGTGTCCTACCATGGCTATTTTAAAGTGCTTTTTCACTGCCCGTGGCTCCATACCTTCATAAGTTCCTACTTCCAAAAGGGTCCCACTTCGCTCCAACTCCAGAAATTCCTCCACAGTCAGAAAGTTATAGTCCACACCAGGCACTTCTCCTTCTCTTGGAGGGCGGGTTGTGCCTGAAAAGGAAAAACTAGCACATTAATACTAGTTAATGTTGTTTTCTTACCAAAGGTAAAAAGAAGAGTAAAAAAATTTCATAAAGATACAGCAATACCTGTAGGATACAATTCTGTGTCAGAAGAGTTCAGTTACAAGTTAGGAGCCCATGTAAAAACAAGACAAGACATAGACCTCTGATTGAGCTGGAAGTATCAGCTGGAACAAAACAACCAAAGGACAACGTTTTTTTGTATTCTCAGAAGGACTCTCTGGCAAAGAAATCTCTCATACCACATGCAGAAACACAGCTGGAAAAGTTTGGTATCTGGCAATATGCCAGCAATCACCTTCCTGCTAGTAGCACTGTCTCTCATATGTCACTAAAATTGCAACCTGTATTCTCAGATAAGACAACTTCTTTCTTGGTTCCATTACTTCTGTATCACTATCTCACCAAATGTTCTTTCACATCATAAAGATAATTTCTCCCTTGTTTCTTCTTAGTATTTTATCTCTATTTATATTATTTTTATTCAGCATTAAAAAGTACCATGAGACAGTTTTGATGCACCATTCACACATGCTTGCTAAAGAGACAACCTGCCAACTGTTTGCACAGAAGTTCATCTATAAGTTCATTCCAGTTCAAGAAATATTTTTGAGTAATAAGTCACACTGAATCTCTCTCCAGCACTTGACAATTTAAATAGCACCCATGGAGAACGAGGCTCTGATCACTGCTACTCTGCCAGCTCTGAAACTCTTCTCCCTTCTGACCAATTTACAGCCCTCTGAAGCATAGTGTAAGATGAGTCACTTCATGACTTTTTTGCTAAGATGGCTTGGGCCACTGCATTTTAGGTCAGTGAGCACAGCTTCATTGATTAGGATCAATTTCTATTCAATAGCCTTTATTTTCCATGACTCTGGAGGCTGGGAGGTGGCTGGATTCTGTATATCTGAGATTAAACATAAATGACAAATTTACAGATAGTACAGGAAACTGAATTTTGGAAGAAAGAGCAGAGTTAGAGAGTTGGATGTGTCCGAGTGCTGTGGCTGCAACCAGTCTGCTGGCTTGGGAATAACTTCAGAGATGTAGAAACCATACCTAACATTTAATGAAGCATGATTTCTCACTTCTGAGGGACTTTTCCAGCCCCTGGGCAGCATCTTCTCAGTGCATACAATTTCTTAAACTCTCTATAAAAGGACAGAAGAAAGAATAATGAAGCTGAGCTTCTGGAAACTAACGGGGAAGATTCCAGCTCTCAGAAGTTGAAAGAGCATAAATTTACCATGCCTGCATCTGGCAAATGTTTTCCTCAAGTGCCAGGGAAGCGGAAAGTCTGCTTATCCCCTATTCATCTGAGAGACTGTTCAAGAGGTCAGTCATGACAGAGTGACACCCTTGAAAGATTATCACTAATTTCCTTGATAGACATCCACTTTCTCCAACATCTTCCATTTCTTGTTTCAAAATAGAAACTCTCTCTTTTTTTATTTTTTATTTACTGTCACTCTTCAGTTAGCCTACAAATTCCCATGGTTTTTCTATCACTCCTTCTCTTGGAGCTGTGTGAACAGGTGAAGGTGGGAGAAGAAGTATGGAAGGGGATGGAAATGGTGATGAATATCTTTACCTTACTAGCAGAATTACTCTTTTCTATTTGAAAGGATTGGATTTTGCATTCTTTTTATTTTTGAATCCTTACAGTAAGACTACAACAACTTTTACCAAGTAGATTGTAACAGAAGACGAATGTCTTCCACAGATCTAGTCCAGAGAAATACTGGAGCTGCTCCACGTACCCTTCTGTGCCCCAGTGCCTGTGTTTCCATCCAAAGGCAGACAGCAAAGCTGAGCAGGCAATGACCACACAGGTCCCTTCCTGGCACACAAGGAGCATGGAGCACTCACCCAGCAGCTGGGATGAGGGGTAACAGCCTAGATGCAAGATCCCTTCCCTGAGATCTAACACCTGCACAGACACTCAGGCTGTGAGGACCCTCCCCAGAGCATCCTGTCTGTTGGTCACTGCCACATGCCCCTAAACCTGGCCCACGAGAGGGAAGGAAGAATAATGAAGAACCTCCACAATAACTATGTCCAATGATGTGCTGTAGCTGTCCCATGCCTGGAGCACAATGGAAGTGAGAATTAGACTCTGCAGTGCTCCTCATCCATCAGTCACCCCGAGCCATGTGGCACACGAGCTGAATGACAAAGATCGGGACTTACATTTTCCCAGTAACTAATAACATATATTGATGAGACACAAAGATCAGGGAACTTCAGGACTGCTTTTACTTTATCTTTTAAAGCCTTTTCTTTCCTTTATCTATATCTTCCCACAGAGAGTATTTATTAATCATCTTTTTTCCCTTCTGAATTTTTATGGCGGTGAAATTGCAGTCAGCAGTTTACTAGTGCTGGCTGCCTATTTGACATGACAATTATATCTGCCATAATTCCTCTGAGCCATTTTAATGGATCTATTTGTTTCATCTCAGTGTTCTTAATTTCCTGAATATGTTCAAGCCGAAAAATCGCAGATGTGCTTGCTATCAGCACGACTGCCTGCAACTCACACTGAATGCATTAGGAACATCGAGTCGCCCCGTAAAAGAAAAACATTACATCACAGAGATAACATTTGTCACCTCAGTCGGTCCTCAGCAGCAAACCGAGGGAAAATAAAAACTACATTGGTTAGGATTTCTTATCTGGGTGAAGGTGAAAAACCCAACAACTTTCCATGTTGCTGTCTAGAGCAAAGATTGCTTGCAGATGCTCCGGCTGTTATCCTGCTTCACATCTGAACAAGTGTTACTGAATGCAATTCAGGAAGGCAGGGGGAAGGGAAAACCCGCCTCCGTTTTTCTTGTAGCAGAATGACAGGCTGCCGGCTGGACACACGCCTGGCAGATGGCATTTCAAAGAGTTTTCATGAACCATCTGGGATGTGTACAATGATTACAAACCACACTTACAACAAAGCCAGAAGGGCTGCTTCACAAGGAGGGTGGGGGGAGAGGGCGGGCAGGAAGAAAGGGGGGAAGAAAAGAAAGCAAAGAGGCTCATAAGCAAACTCCATGACTTTTCCCAGCCACAGGGCACCAAGAATAATCAGCACCTTCCACCCAGAGCCCCTTCCACAGCCTGAAACAACTGCTCCACGACTGTGCAGCATGTGTGCACACAGGCCAACACCATCACAGGCTGTAAGCTACCACTGCAGCTCTCTGCTGATAAACTCCAATTGTAATTAAGTCTCCCATCATTAACGTGACAATTATGTACAAAGCATGGTGTATGTGTCCTCCTTCCCCCTTTAAATTACATTTCAGCCTCCTTACCACAAGGATGGTCATCAGTGAAGGAGATGACTGTGCTTTTATCAGAGCTAATAGTAAGTTAGACCACTGCTAATGGCAGAATGAATTGAGCACAATAAGAGCTGTAGAGTGCCCAAACAAGAGATAACGTATTCCATAAGACGAGCCAATCATATTTAAATACTTTAACTTGCCTGACATGTTTGCTCTGAAACATTAAGTGGCATGAAATCTTATTGCCATTAGGTTGTAATTTAGCTAATTAATTTGAGCTACATCCATTGTGTGACTACCTCAGAATTGTTAATGCTACAATAAAAAGGAACTGGAACAGAAACTGAGTGGCTACAAGTCCTTCTGTGCATTTAATGGTAAATCTTTCAGTCTTATTTGGCTAGAATGTTGCACAACATATAAAACTAGTTAGATAAGTTAAATTCATGGGGGAATTGCTCAAATCTCCTGTAGCCACAGAAGACTCACGAAAATAAATAATAAAAAAAGCCTACTGGTTAGCATTACCTTCTCTCATGGTCTACAGAGGTAAAACTACATAAAACAAGAGTGGCTCAGATGCTTGATGAAATGTTTGCCCAGCTGTTGGTTTGATTATCACACTCAAGCTATCTCCACCCCAGTTTATTCATGCATCCCTACTGTTGGGCCACAGAAGAGGGATCTCATCCCTCCTGAGAAACTGCTTCTAAACACAGGTGAGTTTGTCCAAGCAGAGCCCAGCGCTGTACTTGAACTAATTTAGAGCTTGTCACCCATGCCTAGAATAACTGGACTGTGGCTCAGATGTATTGATGACTATCAACTGTTATTCTGAGTAATTTAAGCACCCATTTAAAAGACAAATAGCGGCTTCTGTTGTGATGCCTATCAACCATGCTGACACTTACCCAACATGAGCCTCAATTATAGTATAGCCAGGCTGTTAATATATGATTCAAGGGCTGTTTAGCTCCTTATCAATCTACCAGGGCTTCAAGTTAAGTTGTTAATAGCCACTGATGCCCTGCTGCTAAATTAATCAGTCTTGCTTATTGTAATCTAAAAATAAGACTTCAAAGGGGTTGTAGTCACTTCAATTGCTTTCTTGCTAAAACAAAAAAATTCTTGAGCAGTAACACTATTACCATGCACCAAAATAGTCCCTAGCAAGTTATTTAGAAGTTGCCTTTTCAAGTGCAAAATACCTACATCTCCCATTTGCAAAAAAAAAATTAAAAAAAAAAATTATTGCTGGAAACTCCTTCTCCAGTTCCTCTGGCTGGCAGTGACAATCTTGTGAGCCACCAAAATATGGACGATTAAACCACAAGTCATTTGGTTCTCATTTCCACTGACCAGCTTCTCTTAAAATGACAGACAATGGGGGAGTTGTACACTCGAAGTAACGATGTAGTTGCTACAACCATATTTTATACAAGTCACTGCTGGTTACCAGCAGTGAGTGGAACTGTGGTAAATAAGGTTTTAATCTGAAGTGTGCAGGGATGGTCCTGACTCAGGAAGCTGCAAGGCCAAGAGCTGCTGTGGGGGGTTGCTGAGTGGTTGGCTGCAGGTGGGGTGGGAGGAAGGAAGGATTCTGCTCTTGCCATTGCTCTAAGACTGGTATATTCGTTCATTCAGCAAGAAGAGACTGCTCTCATCGCCACACAAAAAAAGCCCT